AAAAACTAATATGCGCCTTCGGCGCTAGTTTTAAAATATTGTTTAGTTCAATTTGTTTATTGTGTAATACCTGGATGTTCCACAGTAGAGAGTATTCTTTGTAGATCTCCAATATCATTGTCACTTTCCAATAGTTTCCAACATTTCCTGTGAACCTTTAATAAACACATTTCATCTTCATATGCATCATGTATTTACTTGACGTTCATTAGTTCCGTCATCTCTTATCATCTTCCTCCTCCTTAAAGATGGATAACTATGGATACTGTTGCCAGGTAACCATGTGGTCCCCACATCATCAGCATTGTAGTGTAGTTGCCTAGGTAGCTGGTGTGGTTTTTGCCCCCAAAGTACTAAGTTTGTGTATTGTTTGACAAAACTATTGGTTTGTATAGGACTGCTCCATTTGCTGTCTTGCAAATGCGCGCTTACCTAATTTGCATGTTTTATATTGGTGACATGCAAAGTGGGAGACATTTACCAAATTTACGATGTATGTGCTTTATTGCATGTTCTGGGAATGAATAGCTTGAATCCAAGCCATATGCCTAGGCTGGTACTCATTCTTATTTGTTAGTTCTGTGAGGGCGCTGTTGTGGACTTTTTTCTGTTGAACAGGATGTTACATATCTTTTGATTCGTTGACATAGAATATTTTATTTGACCACAAGGAATGCCTGTCACTTTCTTGAGAAATGCACTCTCTTTCCAAAGAGGGGCCTGCAGTAGATAATTCACCTAGATTTGTTAGTCATATCACATTTAATACTAGTAAATTATTAATTGAGTTATTTAAAATTGATATAATAAATTAATGATAATTTTAAAAAAATATTCCCAGTATTCAATTTTGATTATTAAATAATGAAATAATTTATTATTTTTGCCTGTTTATTAGAATCGCATATTGATCAAATTGTACATTGCTTGTGTATTTTGGGCATTAAAATTTTACTTATTTTCACTTTAGACATACTTCATTTGCATAAGTCCATACGCTATTAACAGCAAAAACTGTATTGTCTCTACTGCAGTTTTTTCTCACTGAATTTCTGTGCATTTTTGTGGTTGCTCGCAAACTATGTCAATGTTCATCATGAATGTTTTAGTGCAGTAGTGGATGCAACCTGTTACTGTAAAACCATTAATTTTCACTAATATTTGATATCACTATTTTGATTTATTATTTACTGGGTTTCAAATTCATTGATTTTGATTGATTATATCGTAATTTGAAATATTTATGTAGGTTTATGTGCCACAATAGTGAAATTCAAATGCAGTGATTACTTAATGAGTTTACAGTATTGTAATGTCCAAGTGTCTTTGTGTTCCAGGCATGGATGGATATATTCTCCAAATGCATGTAATACGGTAATACTGGTAGATAGTTCTAATAAAAAGTGTCTAATGTATTTTATATTTGATTTGAGTAAACAGTAGCCTGTATGTCATGTCATGAATCACCAAAAATCACCATCCTTTGCTTTGTGATTGTACTGTCATGAGAGACTTATGTCACCATTTGCACCTGTTCTATACTATGTTCACATTGAAATTGATATGCCGGCTACATTGTATTATAGTAAAGTAAACCATTTAATTCTTATAACTCAAAATGTTGATTTAACCTTTTCACCACCAGACTTTCTCTTTCTCGCCCACAAATTTTTCTGGAAATGAACCCTTATCAGTTTTAACTAAAAAAATTGGCTATTTTTATCCCAATTTTC